GAAGCGATTCAGTTCATAATATCCAGACAACCAGATCTACTGGAATGAAGATTAAAAAGAAAAGGAAGGTTTCCATTGTGGGAGTCATGTGTGTGTGTGTTTGTGTTTACAAGGTAATACCCAAAGAGAAGTGCCTATTAGCTAAAGTATTTCGTTGAACTCTTTCATGATTTGGAAATATTAAATTAAAATTCTTAATGAGTGGAGAAAAGACACTTAAAATGACTAGTATCACTAAAATGACTCAAAACCATCTTGATGCCTTTGGCAAAGTGGTATAACCTGATAACCACTAAAACAATCATTTGGTAAAGGGCAGGGACACTCCTGGCACAGAATTTCCCACTTGTGCATCTCCTTTGTAGCCTGTGTCTCCATGTTATAGGCCCAGCTTCACCCAGGTAGGCTTGGAATCCCCCTGGAGACCTCTCTACCAGTCCTTCCTCAATCCAGAATCAGAGACTGCTGCTGCCATGTTAGCTGCAAGTTCACATCAGTTCAGAAGTTTTCAGAGGAGAAATGGAATGCTTTGGCTATTAAAAAATAAAGCATTGTAAAGTAGATGATTCAGAAAACTTATAAAAAGGTTCTGCAACTTTTCAATCCAGTGTGGACTGGAAAACACTCTTTCAGTTTATTATGTTTAAGAAATGAGCATCAGAAACCTATTGTTGAGTCTTTTTCAGAAAATTGTAGCATTCCTGCAGTTTATGTGGTCTTTGTTTTAAAGATCTGCTTCAAACCCTGAATATTCATGGACTTTCCCAGGCCCTCAACAAAACAAAACAAGGAAGAAGAATCTTGACATGAACTCCAAATAAAATTGACTAGCATCATTGTTAACTGAATTCTGAGACAAATCAAAATGGGTCTCTCCCCATAAAACTACCAGTGAATTGTGCAGAATTAGAACAGAACCTATGCCTACTCTTAAAGTTTTGAATCTGAATAAATGAGAACATCTAAATATTTTCAAAGCTTGTATTCCAATTAGCTCAAGTGTCTTAGTTTCTCTCTGTTTCACATTAAATGTTAAATAGTCCTGGGCTGGGGATTTAGCTCAGTGGCACCACGCCTGCCTCACAAGTGCAAGGTCAGGGTCATGAGTTCCATCCCCAGTACCAAAAAGAAAAAGTTAAATAATCCTCTTAGTAGTAAGTGTTTCAGTATATCACCGTCTCCTGACAAGTGTGGTCACAGCAAAGAACTGGCCTCTTCACTAGAGAGAAATCCCCCAAAAGGACACCGTGCCTTTGTAATCTCTGGCAGTGGACAGTTGACCCTTGGCTTGGATGATCACCTCTGCTAATACACCCTTGAGTGGTTACATGTGGCCAAAAGAGCTATTGGTTTTGTGATGACAGTTTTCTGGGCACACCCTTAAAGTAGTGGAAGCCACTTTTAACCACAGGGGGGCAAGAGTCAAAATATTTTGAAAAAGTTTTAACTCTAAGGTGAACTTGCCTCTTTCCTCTACTCTTCCAGCCTCAATCCAGAAGCCAGTGAGTAGAGAAGATCTAGATAGTCCTTTCCTCTGGGAAGATGATCTGTATTTTCAGCAGCAATATGGACAGGGCACTTAGAACCAGAAGATTTGTTTTCCAGTCTCCATTGTGCCTTTAAGTAGCTTTGGAAGTTTGGGAAACTCAATTATCTCACTGTGTCAGTATCTCTATCTGTAAAATAGGCATGAAACTACCTACCTTACCTGTACAGGGCTGTAAGAGAAGGCATGGTGTTCTTTTATGGCTCTCCTTCATTGTTTTAAAGCCTGGTGGTGTTTTCATGTTTACTCTTGAACTTCCCTGCAGAGAGTTACTGTACCATGCCCCACTCTTGCAATTCAATCAAAGAGAGTGCTAGTTGGTAGCGAAATGAGAGAAAGACAAGTTGGCCAATGTGGGAACAGTCAGTGTATTCCTTTAAAAAGGGGAACAGAGATGCTTTCTGGGTGTCAGGGGGCAGGGAGAAGACAGAGAAGATCCTCCAGAGTCACTTCTTCACTATGGGGCTTCTTATTTAGCATATGTACATTCTGTTTGAGGAAATAGCTTCCAAAGTGGAGGACAATAGATGTGGATCTTTTTCATTCTGCTGGATTTTCCAGGCCTCTGCCAGTCCCCACCCGGGTCATTAGGAGGTCATAGGGTCACAGGAAGTGGGAACCATGAAGGTTAAGAAAGAGCTTGTATGTAGCCTTTTCACCACCACCACCAGCCCCCCCCCCGCCCCGCCCCGAGAGGTAGGATACAGGCTTGGAAGGAGGGCCTGGCCTACTGAAATTCAGAAATCTCAAATGTCTCCACTGCAAACTGCTGATAACAGACTTGAAGCTATTTAGTAGTGTGCTGATTTTTCCCATCAAGTCTCATGAGAGGTATCTATCTTGTGCCATGTGGCTGAGCCCCTGGAAGCCGCTGCTCCAAGAAGGCACCCCACCCTGCCTGCCAGCCCAGGGGAGCCCATAAAGTAGCTGGGTGTTGCTCAGTAGGAGGAAAGGCCTCACCTTGTTGCAGCCCAGGATTCCTTTGTGTGAGGGAGCAGAAGTGGAGATCCCAGTGCAGCTCTGGATTTTGCCTTTGGCGGGGCAACCTGTCTTGGTAAAGACAGTAAGAACAGAAGCCTGTAGCACATACCTATAATCCCAGCACTCTGAGTGGCTGAGGCAGGAGATGGAAAATTCAAGCCCAGCCTGGGCAACTTGGTAACTCAGCAAAAGTCTGTTTCAAAAAAGGGCCAGGGATGTAGCTCAGCTGTGTCGCACCTGCCTGGCAAGTGCAAGGTCCTGAGTTCAATTCCTAGTACCAAAAAAAAGTTAAAAAAGGCTGGGAATGTAGCTTGGTGTGAAGGCGCTGAATTCAATCCCCAGTATCAAAAAACCAAACAAAGCAAAAGAACAGCAGCTTGAAGTGAAAAGAACAAATGGACATATGATATCCAGGGAGAGCCCAGCTTCCCTCCCAGCCCTCCACCCCTGCATAGTTTGTGCCTCTCAGCCCTGGCTGGACATGCTGCTTCTAGTGCTGATTTCAAAATTCTGGCTGAGAAAGGTCCATAGGGTTGTCGTGTAGTCAGACAGGTCAGTCTCCCTTTGAATCTGGGGGAAGCCAGATAGAAACTGTGTTTTGACAAGATGGAGAGGAGAAGCCCTCCCAGGCCTTCAATGGAGACCTGAGAGATGGCATCACATCTGGCATGAGAAGGGCTGGAAGGGAGGCCCTGGGGAGCCCACAGCTCCTCAGGGCTCCTGGGCCATTATCAGCATCCTCCTCGATTCTGCCTAAGCTATCAGACCCCACAGGCAGGCCCAGCTGTACGCCGTGCATGCAGCAGCTGCTTGTGCGATTACATTGGCTGCTGGACTCCTTCTCCACCTTCTCTACGGAGGCCTGTGTGGGGATGAACCAGCCAAGAGACACATGGCAGATCACAACAGATCATTTAAAATCCTTCTGCCTCTCTGCTACCTCAAATGGCCCCTCCTGTTTTCTACACTCCCACACATAATTTTTGAAAGCGTAGGAGGCAATTAATTTGTGCTCATACTGAAAAGGATAGAACACTTGTAAATGTGGTGTCCAGTCTATTTTTTCCTGCTTCACCTTCCAGCCACTATTTTCTGTTTGAGTTGTACTTTTCTGTTACAAAAATTACCTAGTGAATGTCTCAGAATTTTTAAATAAGTACTTGCAAAGCACATTGTATATTTCAGCTTGAAAACGAAAAATGGCAATAGGTTCTTGGGAAGTTAAATGTAAAAGGACAACCTTTAATATAATATGTATGATGTTCCTAGTATTTGCCAGATGTGTGATAAGAATCTAGCGGCTCAAAGATGATAAGAGACACATCTGCCTCCTATATGTTTAAAGTGTCCCCAGACTTCTACTTTTGAGGAGAACACAAATAATTCTAAGCAGTGTCCAATTCCCAAATGACATTTTTACAGGAATGAGTGTGCCAAGGGCCTGCATCCATGTATACAAGTACAGGGATGTAAATGTGCAGCTGCCAACATGTGAACAGAACAAATCTGCTGTACCCAACGACAGAGCCCTAAGCCCTCAAATGCTGTCTTTCCTAGGCACCTACTAAACATAAAACAAAACCAAGCTCTATGACATGTTTCATATATCCAGGTAACAGGAAGAGGATCAAAAGTGGGAGGCACCTGGGTCTCGGAGTCAAAGATAGAAGGTATTTGGGTATGGAGTTAATGAGGAAAACCCAAGAAAGCAAAAAGACACCAAAATGGAGAAGCAGGTACCATTGTCAGCCTGTTAAGTACTAGTAAAATTTAATGTCCCTTTTATTTTTAATAAGCATAAATGTAAACAAAATATTTTATTTCTTTTTTGCACTCCAGTGTGGCAGTCACTGATCTGCTTTTCCCTTACTTGTTATGGCTCTGCTAGGAGTTTTGAATGCATCCAATTCTTTGTATTAAATTATTTTCCTGCCTAAAGCACCTAAAATGGCTTCTATTTTTTCTTCCTAATATTTATTATAATGAAAGTCAAGATAAAGTAGAATTTCTCTTTGCACACACACGCGCGCGCACACACACACACACACACACCCTTTCATAAACATCTATCTCCTTCATAGAATCTGGAACGTAAACACATAACAGTATGGAGAGCAATGCATATGGAGGAATCACAGAATGTCAAGAAGTACTGTGATGAAAGGTACAGTTGAAACTAGGCACGGAAAACTCACATTTTTTATTCCAATTACTCAAAGTTTTATAGGTAAGGTCACCTAGTTAAATTTGAATTTCAGGTAAGTAATATTGTAAGCAGAATAGCATCCCACGAAAGGTTCTTGGGTCCTAATCCCTGAAACCTGTGGAGATCTTGCTTTACTTGACAAAGAGGACTTTCAGGTGTGAGTAAGTGTATGGCCTTCCAGATGAGGAAGTCACTTAATTGTACCAGGTGGGGCCAATCTAATAAATGAGCCCTTAAGAGAGACCTTTTGCCAAGTGCAATCAAAGAGAGAGGTGACTAAGGAAGAAGGGTTGGAGAGAGGCAGCACTGCTGGCTTTTAAGATGGAGGAAAAGGCCATGAACCAAGAAATGTGGGTGGCCTGAGACACTGAAAAAGAAAAAAAAGCAAACTATCTCTTATGGCCTCCAGAAAGGAATGTAGCCCAGCTGACACCTTGATTTAAGCCTGGTGAAATTCATGGCAGACTTCAAAACTACATAACTGTAAGTTAACTTTTTTTTAATCTGCTAAATTTGTGATAATTTGCTACAGAAGCAATAGATAACTAATGCAATTAACAGATTATAATTTTTTTTGGTTTTTTGAAACAAGGTCTTACTATTTAGTTCAGGCTGGCCATGAACTCCCTTTGTAGCCCAGGCCGGCCTCAAACCTGCGGTGATTCTCCTGCCTCAACCACGTGAGTGCTGAGATTACAGGCATGTGCCATGCCCAGCTCCAGATTATAATTTTTAAGTACAAATTTGGCCCATGCAATACTTGAAATGTACTTCTACTAAAATTTACCTCAATTTTGAAGTTGAAAAGTAACTGAGACCTGTGTTTTACCTGACAACCCATTTTACACAAAAGTTTCCAGAACTCTTCCATACCTGTGCATCTGTCTGTACTCCATCCCTGAATCAATTTTGGGAACTTGCTATGCACTGGCAGTAAAACAGACAATGTGCCTATTCTATTTCATTGAATCCTCACAACTCTTTGGTCCAGGTATTATAAGTAGGTAACTGAGTCTAAGCAAGGTTATACAACTTGTTCAAAGTCAAACAGGCAGGAGAGAAGCCTGGGATGGGTCCAGTTTGACACCAAAGCTCATTCTGCTAAGCTATCTGCATCTAGTTTTCTGGGCTGCCTCTTCCTCTCTTACCTTGTGTTTATCGTTGGAGCATCAAAGGGTAGCTTTACTGCTGCCGACTGTCTTCAGTAATCTGATGTCTGCCCCCACCTCTCCGAGGCCACTGAAACCCATCCTCAAAGGTCACTGATAGCCTCTGTCACCACATCTGAGTCACCCTTCCCTTTCCCTTCTCTGTAGCACAGGAAGACATGGCTGCCTCCATGGCCACCATAGTGTACTGTACTCCCATGCTGTAATTCTGAACTTCCCTCCTCCGTCACCAATTATTCCCTCTGCCTCCTTACTCTCCTCACCCTTTACAATTGTAGGGGACAGTGTGATTCTATTCTTCCTCTCTCTTACATCTCCATTTCAGAACTCTCAGAAATTTCACTCATGGTCACAGTCTCGATTTCATCTCTGCTGAGATTCCCACAGGAGCCCTGCTTCTCTCTCCCTAATGCTGGTCTCACATCTACAGCTGCCTTCAGGACAGTCCCAGGCAGACACTCACAACCAGGCCTGTCACCCCTTCCCTCATGTCCGAAGGGAAGGGTGCTCTCCACATTTAGGGTCTGAGTGAGTCATTTTAACTCCTTCCTTCCCTACATGAAGAAGCCCAGTAGTTGTCCCACCCCAATGTTCTTATGATGTCTTTTGCATTGTTTTTTTCTTTTCTGTTGTGCTGTTCTTGTTAGACAAGCCCCTGTAGCCTCCTCCTGCCATAGCACACCTGAGAGATGTTACAGATGTGGCCCTGACCTCGGAACAGGTTCAGTCACTCTGGAGTGGGCCAGGGCATTAGCTGTTTGTAAGTTTCCCCCAGGTAGATTCATCTTTTGGCACCCATAATAAATTACCAACTTTGTATTTTAAAAGGACACAAGCTAATACACAGCTCTCATGGCGAATCCATCTGCTTACCTTTTCCATATTTTAGAAACTGTCTCATTCCTTCCTTTGTGGTCACATCATATCATAACCTTTTGTCTCCCTGATTCCCTGGTCACATTGCCTTCTTCCTCTTCTGTAACTCAAATCTCCCTCTACTTACCCTGTAGGATACTTTTGGTGTATTTAGGGTTCACCTAGATAGCACAGGTTAATGTCTCCAACTCAAGATCTCAAAGAACATCAACAAAGTCTCTTTTGTCCCTCAAACATTCACAGGTTACAGGGTAGGCCTTGGATAGCCTTAGGGTCCATTGTCAGCCTATCACACCTGGTGCTTGACTTGTCAGCAACTTTGGGAACCCATCTTAAAACTGAGCAATTTTCTTTCAGTCTCCTTTGTCCAATCGATCTTCCTCAGCATCTTCCTAATATACTACCTCATTAGAACAGAGGTCCTAACAGGTTCCTGATAAAAATGCCACAAAAGTTCCCCTCTACATTCAGTTCTGGGACAAGCCTAGTCCATGCACACCAAGAACTCCTGATCTAACAAGATACACTCTCTCTTTTCCTACATGACTATCTTAGTCAGCTTTCCTGTCACTGAGACACAAAACGCAACACCCCAACTTAGAGGAGGAGAGGTTTAATTTAGCTCCCAGTTTCAGGGAATCCAGTCCACGGTTGGCTGGCTCCAAAGCAGAAAAGTCACTGTGGAAGGGTATAGTGGAGCAAAGCTGCTTAGTTCTTGAGGGCCAGGAAACAGAGCCAGGGAACAGTGACAAAGGGGAAGGAGCAGGGACCAGACAGAAATCCCAAATCCATGCTTCTATGACCCACCCAGACTACCCAGATGTGTGCTTCACCAGTCCCCTGAATGGATCCCAAAGTCAAGCAAGTTTACATTCTACCCTAACCACCATGATAATCACTTTGCTTCAGGTATATGGATGCTTCTCAGAATATGCTTGGCATATGACTGGTGTGTTTTGTCATGCTGTTTCACTGACATGTGAGGCTTATCTTCTCTTCCTGTGCTCACTCAGGTCTTACCCTTGACCTACCTGCTTTGCTTTCCTTGGGCTGCTGTAACACAACAGTACAGATGGGGTGATTTAACAGCAGTTGGTCTCACAGTTCTGCAGGCTGTATGTCTGAAATCAAGGTGCAGCAAGAGATGGTTTCTTTTGAAAATGGTAAGGGAAAGATCTGTCTAAAGTCTCTCTCCTTGGCCTGTAGATGACCATCTTTTCTCTATCTCTCTCTCTTTTTTTTTTTTTTGGTACCAGGAATCGAACTTGGGACCTTGCACTTGCGGAGAAGGTGGTGGAACCACTGAGCTAAATCCCTGGCCCCTTCTCTTTATCTCTTTACATTATCTTCCTACCTTGTGTGTCTGTCACCAAATTGCCCCTTTCTATAAGGACTACAGTCATATCAGAGTAGGAGCTACCCTAATGACCTCATTTTAATTTGATCACATCTATAATAACTCTACTCCAAATAATGTCTTTGTTTTAGGTACTGAAAGTTAGGACTCCACCCTACAAATCTGGTGAGAACTCAATTCAACTCATAACACTAGTCCTATTTGGTTCCTGAAATCTAGGGCCTCTGCACACTAAACTGTGGGTTCCTCCCTCATCTAAACAATGCAGGCATCCTCATCTGCTCATTTGGAAAAATAATGATCTATACCTTGACTGCATTATAGCTGTCTTTGAACAATTACTTTGTGTGTGTGCACACACACGCATAATGGTTTGGAAGCACACTTCTCAGACTTATCAGCCTTGCAGAAAGCTGTTATGTCTTATGATACTATATATAGTAAATATACTATTTGTTGCTTTACTCTCAGAAAATTTGAGAGAATTTAGTTTGGGTAGGGATTGAGCAGAGATTACTCCAAGCATAGGAAGTGCTCTGATATGTACAGCATTGTATGAAGGATTCCTTTAATACCTACCTTTGTTGGGGACAATGTAGTGAATTTTTCAGATATCCTGCTGCTTAAAAGCTATGAGCTGACCAAAGAGGAGGAGGAGGAGAGAAGAAAAGTCTCTAGATATTCAAATCCATTAATCTAAAACCTGAATGAGTCAAGGTTAACAGCATTTTGCATCATCAGCATGATTCCTCCACACCACACCTACAGCAGCCTCACTCTTCGGTGATAGCAAGGTGCTTTGGAGGGTTTATCAAACTGACACAGGCACCCCACATCAGGCACTCTGCCAGCACCTTGCTGAGTGGCCCAGGATCTCTTTCAACTTGTATTTGATGAGTCCTTTGCCTGCCAGAGGACTTCTGGTCACTTCCACAGAAGCAGTGCACACATTACTGAGAATGGGTGGGTACCTAGGGGCTAGCATAAGTGTCAACAGAACTGAAATGGGGGAATCTCCCATATTAAAAAGGAGCCCCGGGCTTGATGTAGTGGTGAACACCTGCAATTCCAGCTACTTGGGAGGCTGAGGCAGGATGATTAGAATGAGTCCAGCCTGGCAGTTTAATGAGACCCTGTCTCAAAATTTAAAAAGCTGGAGGTAGGTGTAGCTTAATGGTAGAGCACTTGCCTAGCATGCCTGAAGCCCTGAGTTCAATCCCCAGTACTGTTTATCCACAGTCATAAAATAAATAAAATAGGCTCTGGAGCACATGTATCCCTCTGGAGAGGAATGTGTCGAAGCTCTTTAAAAAGGTGATGAATACGGGACTTGAATCAGCTGCTACAAATGAAAGCCCTACACATTGAAATAGTTCAAACCCTTAAGCACCTGTGCTTTGCTTGGTTTATCTGGGTCATTGCTTAGTCTCTTCTGTACTCTCCCTGTTCTCTCTTAGGAATATGTGGCTTTTCTACATTTATTTGATATTTCTGAGCTCCTACTTACTGTTTCTTTCATTTCAGCTTTGTTTCTTGTGCTCATGCCCAGGTTACACCAGCTGTCCCTTCCTGCTGTTGATGCTGGGAGAGACAGGAGCCGGTTCCAGCTTCGGCCCAAATTCTCCATAGATGGGGGCTTTCCATGACTCTTTTAGCTCGGTGACCCTGTCACTTTACAGCCTCCCTCCTGGAGCCTAAGTGCCCAGGAATGGCTACCTCCTCTGCTGCAATTCCTGAGCACTTACCAACTATGATCTTGGTCTCCTTTCTTGCTGCAGCTGCCACTTTGAGAGAAAGAAGAGGAATCATCAGGCATCAGATGCTTGCTTGAGTGGGCTGCATTTCCTTCTCAGAACTTGAATGTGGAGTCAGTCAGGCTCATCCCCATGACTTTGCACTACTGGAGCAGCTGGGGGTTATTTTTGAAATACAGGCATTAAAGGAAAACTGCAGTTGCCCAGGACTTTCCTCCATGTGGGACTGTGCAGAAGGTTAGAAGTTAGGATGGAGCAAGGGGGGCTGAGCCAGCTCCATGGGAAGCTAGCTGGCTTGCTGAGAGCCTGGCATGTGCTGCCTCAGTCTCTCCCATCTTTTCTTTCATCTCAGCTTCCAAGCTCATTCCCAAGAGGCCATAGGCCCATGTTACCTGATTTTTGGCCACCAAGATATTCAACTTGACATGTGACCTCTCCTTACTCTGTCTTATGCAGATTTGTAACATATTTCCATTCCCAGTTCTCTCTCTAAATGATAGATCTAGCCTGGCTATGCATGTGCTATAAATTCTTTTGTTCTTGGGTAGATGTAATGCCTCTTTTTTTTTTTGAATGTCTGTATATCTTTTGTGATGATCTATGTCAGTGCTGTAAGATGAGAACTTAGCAATTTGCAACGTACTAATGACATTTGAGGTTTGTGTGCAAGGAACAGAGAAATCTAAAATTAAAGGAACCTAAAAAATAGCTTTAAAAATAAAGAATAGATTCCTGTCTTGTAACCCAGTGAAAGAATCCAATGCAGAGATGGTAAGTTGGCTCAGATCTTGGAAATCCTTAGAAAACAGTTGACCATGCTGTTACCTGTGTGGTGTGACCTCATCTTCATGATATAAGGTGGCATCTACTTCCAGGCTGCAGTAGAGGTGCAGTGATGAAAAGAAAAGGCAAAGACCACGTGTCAGCCACCTCCCATGTAAGGGTCCCAGAAGTTGCTTTAAAATACTACTTGCTTGTGAATTGATCAGAACTTAGCCATATGATCACACTCAGTCACAGGGGAAGCTGGGTAATAGTAACATGGCCTTTATTTAGGGCTGCCATGACTCTACTGAATGTTGTATTACTAGAAAGGAAGGTGAAAATAGTAAAGGACAAACTAGCAGCCTCTGCCATAAAAATCTATTCTAGAAATAGATTTTGAGAGACTCCTGGTAGAATGAAGAATATATGCCTTAAAAAATGCAAAGCAAAAGTTTGCACCAAAAGTGCATATATATCCATATAAATGCATATGTGTGTATCCATATATGTAATAAAGCACACAAATTTATATATGTCAATATGTACGTAATACAATTATATTTTAAGCCAAGTAGACAGAGTAAAGAATATATTGGGAATATTTTAAGCCATTTCTGTAAATAGTAACGACTTGTTCTGGAATGTTTCTCCAAGATTGCAGTAATCCTCTGAGGCATTAAATTGGTCTGTGACCTTGAACAGATCAGCCAGGAACTCAGATGGTGAAATCCCTGAAATCTCTGGAGTCCCAGTTGCCACAATTATTTCAACCTTGTGCTAGGAAGCAATGCCCTATGGGTTACCAAGTCTGCATATCATCTTACACAGAAGTAGACTATGTAGATTTTGACACCATAGTTACAGCAAGCTATGGGAAAGGTGGGGCGGGCGGTGTTCAGGTACAGGCAGGAAATCCATCTGCAGAAATTGAGTGAAGCACCAGATGAAATATGACACTTAATAAAGAATGTGGGCTGCCCTCTTGGGCAAATGTATCCCATAAATGATGGTTTCCATCCAACAGGAATCAAACTAATCTTTTGAATTTTTAGGCTAACTTTTTGAAAAGGACACAAAAATATTTTTATATAACTTTGTTTTCTTGTGTAAGAGGATACATTTTTAATTTAATCTTAATTAATCAACTTATTTATTTTGCCCAGAGGTACTAAAACCACCAGGAACAGCCTCTGGCTTCATCAGAAACAGGTAAACTTAAAAAGTAGTCATTATGGTTTATATCTAGATGTCCTCCAAAGCTTCATATACTCATAACTTTTTGGGAGGTGACTGGATCATGGGTGTGTGGTACTACTCACTGGATTAGTCAACTGATGGTTTTATAGCTGGGTGTGATGTTGGAAGGGAAAGCCTGGTGGGAAGAGATGGGTCACTGTGGGCATGGCCTGGAGATATAGATATAGAAAAATATATAGAGAGAGACAGATATAGATATATCTCCCTCCTCCTCTCTTAATCCCTCTGCTTCTCACCAGCCATGTCATGAACTGTTTCCTCTCTGCCATGCTTCCCTGCCTTGGAACCAGCCAACTACGGACTTAAACCTCTACAAACTCTGAGCCAAAAGATACCATTCCTTCTTAACTTTCAGGTGTCAGGTGTTTTGTCCCAGCAGTGAGAAAGTAAGCCCGTAGTCTATGATTGTTGGTTTGCAGATACGTTAAGTTGAACAAATATTATTTTTAAAATTATACTTAAAAATTTATATAACATTGTCTAAGGCTGAAAACTAAACATAATGAGCACTTCTCAGCAAAGAAATCTTTTTATCTTCAATGATCAGAGGTCTTTACCAGTCTAATCTTTGCCTAGTACCATTATGAGTGAGTTTTACGCACTATATTTCTAACCCTCCCACAAATGATTTTTCTAACAATGCTTAGGAAATTTATTAGCAAAGTCCAAGACAGTCTCCAGCAAAACGATAAACCTGGAAGGTGTTAGCAAACATGTATGTGATCTCTGAGCTGCAGGATTTCTGTTACGAGTTTTAACTTTAGGTTTTCACAAAGATGAATTATAAGCAATTCTGGAATTTTAATAATTACCTTGTAATTAATTACTGCTACTCAAATTTCCTTGTCTGAGTTTTGCATTTGCCTTTTCTCCCATTAGCATTACAGAATATCGAAGTACATCATACATAGCATTCTGAGCAGAAAAAAGTCACAATTTAAATAGAAGAAAGTAGTAGAAAAATTGAATACCCTCAGCCAATGACAGTCTAGGTGTACTTAGCTCAAAAAGACCTTATTCATGGCAGTAGGCACCCTCATTGTATTGCTATCAAACATGCAAATGGGTGCCCAGCTTTGTAGTCAAGTATATGGTACAGTTTTAAGGAGGAGGTAGGTGGAGTTATTAAAAATGACCAAAGAAACTATACATACATATGCACACACAATACATAATATATATATTTATTTTTATATTTACATTTCATTTTCCTTGACTTTTACAGGTTGATTTTCCTCTCATGCTTTGGCTACATCCATCTCTGTCTATACTGTCCCCAAAGCCCATTGTCTCTATATGTATACAGTTAGGTACACATACACACAGTCCTTGACACACAGACATTGACAAAGTATATAAAATACTCAATAGCAACAACAAAAAGCAAAACAAAACTAGAGGCAAGATGAGATAAAAATGGAATGTCTCTTGTTTTTTGTGGAGAGCAAGTAGAAATTTTAAAAATTACTGACTTTATGAATTTGCATTCTCCTCTGAGCAAGGATATGAGTATTGAGAAGATTTCTCTTCTCTCTTACCTGATTTACATCCTGACATAACATGACCTCCAGCTCACCATTGGAATGCCTAAGCTATCTCACTTACTGGAGGAGATCTTTACTCTTCCAGGTTATGGATTTTAGAGCCAACATTAAAGGACACTGATTCCTCTGCTAATCTCTCAGGAAGTTGTTATACTGGGGAGGCTAATTTGTGTCAGTCTACTGGAGAGAGATGCTTAGTTGACAAAGTCAAGTAGAGTAAATAGAATTGGGCTCACGATGTGGTCCTTCCTGAGTTCTGTAGTGAAGAAAACAGAATGTTCATTCATGTATCTTAAAAGGCATTCTCAAGATGCATAAACCCACAAATCTGTAAGCAAGTAGTTTGTATTCCTGAAGCCTATCTAGGAGTTATCTCGAGTGGCCTTCAGAAATATTAAGGCAAGCAAGGACAGGATGGATACTTCAGAAGGGACATGACATCCTCAGGCTTGGGATATGAGCAAACCTTCCCCTTATTCATTGGCTTTTTTGTGTAAATTTGACTTTGTTTCTTCCTTTCAATGTTCTAAGGTTGCCTTTTAAGCAGAAATACAAAGAATAATTTGTAAAAGGCTTTTTCAAGCTTCATATTATTTAATTGGTTTAATTGAAGGCCAAATGGGTAGGTGTTTGTGTATAATAATAAAAATTTAAATCTCATGGTTAAAGAATTCTAATATTTCCTATAGTGATAATCCACTGTATTATTCTTCTTCATTGTAAAGGATGAGAAAAGGCAAGTTATCAAACCTCTGGAAATGTCAGCTATAAAATGAAGATGGTATCAAACTCAAGTTAAGAAGATGTAAGTAAATCACTTACTATGATATTAACACCTGCATAGTTATGAATTTATGTGTATCTTAGTCACTTTTCCACCACTGGGACACAATACCCAACACCTACAACTTAAAGAAAGAGAGGTTTATTTTGGCTCACAGTTTGAGAAGTTTCAGTCCATGTTCGGCTAGCTCCATGGCAGAAATGGCATGACGGAAGGGCCCAGCACAGAGGAAAGTTGGTCATTGCCTGGTAACTAGGAAGTAGAGAGGAAGGGGAGGAGACAAGGGAGGAAATACACCCTTCCGGGTCACATCCCCATTTTTCCACCTCTAACCAGGTCCCACCTCCTAACAGCTCACTCCACCACTGAGCTCATTAATGAGACTTTTGAGGGAAAGCCCCGATCTACATACACCATTTGCCCTACTTCCCAAAAGACTCATGTCTCTTTATGCAAAATGCATTTAGTCTAAGAATAGCCAAAGTTTTAACAATTTCAGGATTGCTGAAAAGTCCAAGTCCAAGGTCTCCTCTGAGATGCAAGGCAGACTCTTAGCTGAAAAAAATAAGTTAAACACTGCTGATGGACAATGGCACAGGGTAAGCATTCCTATTCCAAAAGGGAGAAATAGAGGGACAGAAACCAATGGTACCAAAGCAAGATGTAAACCCAGCAGGGAAAACATTAAATTCTATAGCTCCTTGTCTACCACCTGGGGCAGGTTGTGACAAGATATGAGCTCCAAAGAGTTTAGGCAGCCCCACCCCACACCTATAGTATTGCCAATTGTAATCCTCATGGCCATTCTCTTGGGGTAGCTTTGCTCACTGCCTGTGGGTTTCCTCAGATGTTCCATATTACTGTATTCTCCAACTTCCTGGAGTCTCCACTGCATTTTTGGCTTCACTCTCACAGCTTCATGCACTGCCCTCTCACTGGCACACTGTCTAGCCTTTCCAACCTTCTTTTATAATCAGGGTGGAAGCTCTATGACCCCATAACTCTTCATTCTGCAAGCCTATAAACCCAGTACTACATAGATAATGTCAAGGTCTACCACCAGTTTGAGCAGTAGCCAGACCCACTTAGATCATGGCTGCAGTGGCCTCTAAATGCCCAGATGGTTGAACTCAGGAAACCAGTTTCCTAGGCAGCCCTTCTGGAGCAAGAAGCCTAGAGGTTCTCTTCTCAAAACAAAGCTTTACAGCTTTACATCTCTGAGCCTGTGCATGGTGGGGTTTTCCTGATTCCTGAAATCCCCATAAGACATCTTTCCTATTGTTCTGATGCAAAGTACTTGGCTTCTTTTAACATTAATTTCTTTAACAACCACATTCTCCTTTACTTCAGCTTTGCAAGCATTTCCTTTCTGGCAAATGGGAAAGGAAAATTTTAAATGGGCTTGTTGCTTCTGATTCTCATTGTAAACCTGGTTAACAGCAGCAAAAAGTACTTATGCCACAGCTTGAATTTGAAGCTGCCTTGAAATTTCCTGTTAGATTAATTAGTCCACTGCCCTTAATATCAGTCTACTGCAAAGTCTCAAGACATGGGCAAAATTTCTGCCTGAGCATAATACAGATGACTTGTCCAACTGACAATGGAGTCTTTATTCCAAACTGAAACCTCCTGACCCTGGCCTTTACCATCTACATTTCTTTTAGCATTCTGGCCTTCTGTACTCTGACCAGAATCTCCCATCAAGTTCCACTTATGGAGTTATAGGGCTTCTCTAGCTGACATCTCCAAACCTTTCCAAACTTCTCCCATGAACCAGTTCCAAAAGTTACTGAACCACATAGTCATATATAGTCATGGTAATGACTATACTCTTGGTATCAAAATCTGTTTTTTTGTTTGAACTTGAATCAAACTTGGGACCTTGTGCTTTCAAGGCAGGTGGCAGAATTACTGAGCTAAATCTCCGGCCCCCAAAATCTATTTTAATCATTTTCTCATCATTGGGACAATACTCAACACCCACAACTTAAAGAAGGAAAGGTTTATTTTGGCTCACATTTTCAGAACTTTAAGTCCATAGTTTGCTGGCTTCAAGGCAGAGATGGCATGGTAGAAGGCCTGGTGCAGAGGAAAACTGCTCATATCATGGCAGCTAGGAAGTAGAGTATGGGCCTAGCAGAGAAAAGCATTTCATGTCGTGGAAGCCAGAGAGTGAGAATGAAGGGATGAGCCAGAGAAGAAGATATGCTCTTCCAGGACCATGCCACTATTGTTCTACCTCCAACCAGACATCCCTCCCATGATCCCATTACCTTCCAAATATATGAGCCTTTTGGAGGACACCCCAGATCATGCCAAGGTGTATCAGGTAGGTATTTTTTTAGCTGTTTAAGAAAACAGCCATTTATTTAGCTAATTTAGGTTGGGTTCAACTCAGTGGTTCTTCTAGTGTTAGCTGGACTCCTGTATGAATCTCTAGTAGTGACAGATCATCCAGGTGTCTCTGCTTTCTGGAGGGGACAGCTGGCTATTGCCTGGGACAATAAAATCAAATGACCCATAGAGGTCCTTCATTTTCCAAACAATCCAATCAGGCCTAATCACATAGTGGTTTCAAGGGGCCGAAAGAAAGAAGAGCATACAAGGGGTTGAGGCTTAGATTCTGAACTGGCACACTATCATTTCTGCTGTATTGTGTTGGACAAAGCAAGTCACAAAACCAGACCAGATTTATAGGGGTGAGTAATATATTTTACTTCCTTTTGGAAGAGTTAATAAGTCATATGACAAAGGTATCTTATAGCAAACACAAATACAGTGACTAAGAATACATATACATGTATATTAATATATATTATAATATATGTTATATTATGTATTATAAATATAATATATTATATAATATATATATTAAAATCTTAAAGTAGAACTAGGAGTAACATAAATTGCAGCAGAAGGCCTACATCATAAAGAACATGTTGATGTGATCAGTGAAGTCTTCATAGAGTTTTCAATATTTTAAGGTGCCAGAGTTGGATCCAAAGCCAAATAAAATGATGGCATAAAGTAATAGCAATGGAACTCTTGAAATATTATCTGCATAGCAAACCTTGGACTGGGTCAGTGGTAGAACTGACTGGGTCCCTTTCTAGAGCTCTTTCTTTGTTGTTGCTATTCACATGATTCATCTGAAGCTTTCTCTGATCCTCTTATATGTGTTCTAGGATCTGGGAATGTGAACAAGAGAGACCAAGTTCCTGCTATAATAGAAAACATCCATGATTTCTATTTTATGGATTATAGTTTCCATCTATGGAAACCAAAGAGAAATAGCTTTAAAAAATTGTGTAAATGTGCAAGAAGCACTAATGACAAATGGCATTTTTAAACAGCAGTGGGTTGTGATAGAGTAACTAGTATCGGGAGAAGTGGGCACCACTTACTTGGGTGCCATGGGCGATCTCACTAGTAAGGAGGACTTATTTGAACTGAAATCTAAATAAAAAGGAGGCAACTTGGTCACTCTTTTCAGACATGGAGACAGCAAATGCAAGGCCCTGCAGCAAAGACAAGCTTGTGTCTTTAAGAAATTACAAAGACAGTATGACTGCTGGTGAAGAAAAAAGAGAAAGGGGGAAGAAGTAAGACAGAGAAATGGGCAGAAGTCAGATTTCCTGAGTCTACATAGACCCTTATAGACTTAGTAAGAAGCTGGAATTCTTTTGATAATTTTTCTAAAAATTGGAGGATTTTAAATAGGATCAAATTAAATAATCTGATTTATACCGGTAAACATGATTTTGAAAGAGGCACTTTCTTAGAACACATTTAATGATCTTCTACTTTATCAAGAGAACTGCGTGTTTTCTTTGTTCTGATGGGAAATGGATAATGAAGAACAATGTTTCCCAATTCCAGCCAAAAAATGTGATGACAATATTCGAAGGGCACAATGTGACAACAACAAAAAAATGCTGTTTTGTTTGAGAAAGACACTAGAGAGGGAGATTACTTTGAGACAAGAAGTTATCCAAAAACCCAAAGATAAAAGCCCAGTAAGGAAGAGTAAATCTTTGTGCAAATACATACATTCAGCTCTGAGTTTCACATCTTTAGATTTGAAGATAGGTTTTTCTTTTATTCCGGGGGAGGATGGGGGTGGAATATAGCTTCTATTGGTAACTGATTCCTTGATTCAAAGCCATAGAATATATGGAAGCTTCATCCACTTAAGTTTCCCATATGCACAGCTAATTCATATATGATAGAAACATTTTAAATAAAATATTCCTTGAAAGATACTGGAACAGAAGAACACAGCACCCAAGTGATGATAGTGGCCATTATGCCATGGAGTGAATCTAACATTACAGTGGTATCTGGGAGCCCATCTGTACTTGTATGTGATCACAGACCAGAAATGGTCCCTGTGCTCTCAGCCTACCCTCCTTTTTATTATTTATTAAGAAATAGAGAGTATTTAGTTTAAGAAACCTGAGTGGGTGATTTATGTTGGAGATAATATATGCATATATCTATATCATTTACTAGACATCAGCTTGTGGATTATTGAACTCTTCATGATATATCTACCAATTTTCTACTCACACCAGTAAGGTGTTCTATGGAAAAATGGGTCTCTGTGTTAAAATATAAATATCTATTAGGAATTATGAGGACAAAAAATAAAAGTTATAACTACTACATACCTGTTAGAATGGGCAAAATTCATAACTTGAAGATGCCAAATGCTGTCAAGGATGGGGAACAATAGGAACTTCATTGCTGGCGAGATGAAAAATAAATGGCACAACAACTTTAGAAGACAGTTTGGCAGTTTCTAAACGTAAAAATAAAAACTAAATACTGTATATCCTTACCATTTGACCCAACAATGAGTTTGTTGGTATCTTACATCCATACAAAAACCTACATAAGAATGTTTGTAGCAGCTTTATCCACAATAGCAAAAATCTGGAAGAAACCAAGATGTCCTTCAACAAGTGAATGGATAAATAAGCTGTGGTCCAACAGTGAAATAATTTTCAGGGCTGAAAAGAAATGAGCTATCAAGCCATGGGAAAACCATGGAACAAATGTAAACTGTGTATTACTAAGTCAAAGAAGCCAATTGGAGAAGGCCAGAAACTATATGATTCCAACTCCATGCCATTCTGGAAAAGGCAAAACTATGAAGACAGTAAAAGGGTCAGTGATTGTCAGGTGGGGGAGGGAAGGGAGGAATGAATGGGGGGACATGGAGGACTTTTAAGGTAGTGAAAGCACTCTACATGATACAATAATGATGGATACATATCATTATGCATTTGTCAAAAGGTAGAGAAAGTACACCAAGAATGAATCATAATGAAAACAACTCTATGATAGCAATGTGTCAATGTAATTTCATTGACTATCACGTTGTACCATTCTAGATATAGAATTGTTATAATGGAAGAGGCTTGTGGGGACAGAGTATGTAGAAAATCTTCATACCTCCCATTTAATTTTGTTATGAAATTAAAACTATTCTAAAATAGTTTGTCTTTAAAAATTAAGTTTCACAGTAATTAATAAGGATAGTAATTTATAACTGGCACATAGCTTAGGAATTGTCATTATTTTTCTCTGTGAGCATTCAGAGAAGAAACAAGTGACATCAGAAGCATCAGAGGCTCCCTATTTGGATGGAGGCATACAGTGCAGAGATTAAAGGCCTTGTCAAGCAGTTGGGAGGTAAATATTAATACTATTTTAATGTTTATAGTTCTTTACAGCTTAATTACTTACTACTTAGTTACTCTTTATAGTAATTATGAATATCAGGAATTATTTTTTACATAAAGTTGTCATTTGTGTCATTTGCCAATTTCCAGGGTATAAATGCTCCCACCACAGCCACTTTCAAGTTCACCACAGTTCAACATCCGTCTTTAAAATTTTTTGAGTACTTAACAATCAGCTGTCCAGCACAACAGTGCACGTGGTACATAGCTTTAGTTCCTTGCATTCCAAATTTTACCCTAAATGTATGTCTGTCTTTGCTTCCCAGAACTCAATTTGGTCAAAAGGTTAAATCTGCCAATGAGGTTAGTTTGTGGATGAGGAGATATCCTCAGCAAAGAAATTCAGTAATAATTTGTCTATTTTTCTTCTTCATTTTAAACACTTAACTCTGTGTCCTTTATGAACATTAATTAATGAAATCTCCCTCCAAATACTTATTAGGTAGCTACTGTTACTATTCACTTTTGCAAATGGCAATAAAAAGAGACTGATTTTTCCAGATGCAGTGGCGCACAGCTATAATCCCAGCACTTGGGAAGCTGAGGCATGTGGATCACACGTTTGAGGCCAGCCTGGACTACATAGCTAGTTAAAGGCTAGCCTGGACTATATAGCAAGACCCTGTCTCAAAAAAACAAAACAAAATAACCAGCAATGGAGCCACACCCAACATCCATCACAAATGTGCTAAATGGAAGAGTTTAAGCCAGGTAATCTGGCTTAACTTCAGACTTCCAACCAGTTTCTATGCTGCTTCTAAAGGGCCTGTGTCAGAAATATAACTGTATAACTCAGACCACATTCCCTAGAAAACTAAGCCAGAATCAAAACATATATGCTGACACCTCATCAGCAATGATGAAGAAAAGAATGGGCATCAGGGAAGGAGGAAAAGCAAAGTTGTGGAAATACATTTCCAAGCTGCCCATAGCTTCCAGAAAAGCTCTTGCTTGGGTCTTGGAGGATGACTTCTGAGAAACTGTACAAAGTTTCTTCACCTTTGAATAACCCATTCAAAGAAAGGAAGAGAGAGGCATTTCTTGGCTCTATTGGTTGAGGTTTGTCCCAAAGGGAGTCAGCTCACCTGCACTTCTTAGGTTGTGCATGCGTGACTGTCACATGCTTCTCAAGGTACCTCCTGTTTCTGCAGAACCAGAACATGAAGCCCGAAGCCTGAAGTGTAGACTGTGGTGCTCTTCATTGTGCCCAGAGAAATGTTAGGGTCTGAGTCTAGAGCAGGCTTGCTCTTCTGTGTTGGTGGCTGAGGCAGCAGCAACTTGGTTCCATGAGCACAAGTGTCTGCCCCACTCATGGCCAAAAAACAATCAGGTGGGCAGATGTGATGCTGAACTAGCCAGAGGATGACATTAAGTACAAGGGTATAGGATAGCATATTCTCTGCTCCTGTGTGCCTGCATGGACTGGGCCAGATCTGGACTTATTCTGGAATTCATCTTCATTCAATTGGTATAGAGAAGGGCTCGATGGCTGTGTTATCTTTTCTGACCCAACCAACCATACAAATGCAAATTGTCTGGAAATATGGTAAACTTAAGATTTAAGACCCAGGCCTAACCCTTCTTATGAAGGCAGAATTTAAGTTATAAACATTTGAGTTATCCCCTTAAGCTACTCAACAATCCAGGAGTTCATAAATAAAAGATTAATTCAATCTCCATATATATTTCCATAACACTTTTATGGTTCTTTATATGATACTTAGATTCTACCATATATTACAATTGTCTAACTTAGAATTCTAGAATGTAATCACCTGAAGGTGGATTTCTAATCTTTTTCATCATGATCAATCTTCATATTGCTTGATAAAATGAATAACACAATATATATTTGTTGACTTAAATGAAATTTTGCATCCAAATCCAGCTATATGATCTGCAGAGCTCAAAGCAGAATGAAAATGTAGGACTTATGTTCACAAAACAGGAAAAGTGTTATTAAAAGTACTCAAATAGAAAGCATTTTCCTTAAAAAATTTTTATTACTTACAAAATACAAGAGTGATAGTGACACATAATTAGAACAAACCAATTGAAAAAGTTATATTGATACTGTAGTTTCATATAATCAATAAATGCAAGACATTGATATGCTCTGATTACTCACAAGATTTTTTTGCTTTCCTGCAAATTTTTATATTAAGTCAACAAATTTACACTTTTTAAAAAATCCATTTTTAAGCATATTGAAGATGATGTTATCTTGACAAATTCAAAACTGAAAATATTTTCAGTTGTCATTTTTTATTAGTATGTGTTTCAGTACATAATGATCACATTCCTCATGAGGAGTTGGTACATGTACACATGTACATAACGCATATCAATTTTTTAACCCCTCCCATTTCCTTCCCTTCCCCTCCCCCATCTCTTGGTCTCCTTCCCATTTGCAAAAGATCTATCTCCCTATTTTCTATTACCTGACATTTAGTTTTCCTCTTTATTTATATTTTAGTTTTCTCATATAAGAGAAACCAGGCAATACTTAAGCCTGTGTATCTGATTTATTTCACTTAACATTATGGCCTCAAGGTGCATCCATTTTTCCTGAAAATGACTCAATTTTTTCTTTATGGCAGAGTAGTATTCCATTGTGTATAAATGCCACCTTTTCTTTATCCATTCATCTGTTGAAGGGCTTATAAGCTACTTCCAAGACTTAGCTATTATAAATTGTGTTTCTGTAAAGATGAGTATGCATGTCTCACTGTCTTTAACTCTTTCAGGAAGATCCCTAAAAAGGGCTAACTGAGTCAAATAGAATTTCTAATTTTAGTTTTTTGAGGAATCTCTATCCTTATTTCCATAGTAGCTATACTAGTTTACGTTCCCACCAACAATGTAGAAGACTTCCTTTTTCCCTGCAGCTTTACTAGCATTTGTTATTATTTGATATCCTGATGATAGTCATTCTCTCTGAAATAAGGTGGAATTTCAGTGTTGATTTAATTTGCTTTTTCCTAATGGCCAGAATTGTTGAGTATTTTTTCATGAATTTATTAGCCATTTGTACTCCTATTCATTTCAGTTGCCCTTTTTTTGGCTGGGTCTTTTATTTTGGTGAGAGTCTAATGTTTTTGAGTTCTTTACATATTCTAGATATTCGTTCTCTGTCCAAGGAATAGCTGGCAAAAAATTTTTCCCATCCTGTACGTTGTCTCCTCATATTGTTGGTTATCTCTTTTGCTGTGCAGAAGATTTTTAATTTTATATGATCCTATTTGTTGATTCTAAGTGTTACTTTTTGTACAGTTGGGGTTCTGTTCAGAAAATTTTTGCCTACGCCTATGTCTTCATGAATTTTACCCATTTTATCTTCCAGCAGATTGTTTCTGTCTTAACATTTAAATTTTTGATCCGCTTTGATTTTAGTTTAGTACATGCTGACAGATAAGGGTCTAGACCCAATCTTCAGCATGTGGATATCTCAGTTTTCTCAGCACCATTTATTAAAGGGCCTATCTTTCCTCCAGTGTACAGTTTTGGCCCCTTTGTTAAAGATCAGAGAGCCTTATGTGCCTGGGGTTGTTTCTGCATTCTGTATTCTGTTCCCTTGATCTACATGTGTGTTTTTGTGCCAGTATCATATTGTTTTTATCATTGTAGCTTTGTAGTATAACTGGAAATCTGTAATTGTGATACCTCCTGCTTTGCTCTTGTTGCCCAGGATTGCTTTTGCTGTTCTGGGTCTCTTCTGGTCCTGTATGAATTTTAGTATTATTTTCTCTACTTCTGTGAGGAATGCTGTTGGTATTTGAATTGCGATTGCATTAAATCTGTATATCAGTTTTGGAGGGATGGGTATTTTGACACTACTGGTTTAGTTTATCCAGGAACAGGGGACATCTTTGCATTTTCTGATGTCCTCTTTCATCTCCTTTTTCATGATACTGTAGTTGTTGTTGTAGAGGTTTTAAGATTAAAAATAATTTTTGATAAAGTTTAATTTTGAGAAGAAAGTGCTGGTGCACCAGTTACTGAAGTTGAGAATATTTTGTAGACTTAGATTACATTAGGATAAATTTCTGATAATTTCAAATTTCAAATATAAATTTTTAACACATATAGAACTGGTGATTTTATGAAATAATTCTTCTAAAATGATTTAATGCTTCACTCAATTTTGTGTGTCTGAATTTAATCACATCTATTAATTTATACAATGGCCTTTTAATATTTTCTCTAACAGTTTCTGTCAACTTGTGCAAGTTGTACACAAAATCACAAATGATTTCATATTTTTGTATGAACCAACACACATACTTAGCATTCTATTGCCATATCTTCAATTACAAGGAAATTCTTAATTTTAAAAATTGTTTTCCTCATTAATAATTTGTTCATTTAAATCTTCATTTGTTTTGTTTTTCCATTCAACACAACAATATTTCTATTAATTCCTGTTTCTACAGTACATAATTCTGTGCATATTTGCAATGTTATGACAATTTTTGAAACTAGAGATTCTAAACATTGAAGAATTATAATAACTCCCTGATATGTTTTATTTTGATATTCCAGGGTTCACTTTTGTTTCCCAATAATTTACTATCAAAACTCAGTACCTGTACAACAGCAGATCTTCTTCCAGGCTCAGGTAAAAGAGCAGGTATTTGTGCAGGCTCTGCAGGGTCAGCTCTGGGAACAGCAGGGTAATGTGGCCTCACACTGCAGGTCTCAGCCCCGATCCCAGTAGAGAACCTCTTTTTGCTTGGAGCTCAAACCACAGGCAGACACTTCTGATGCTGCTGTTTCCAATTGAATCAGGGCCCAGGTCATGTCCCACCTGACTCCTCATGACTTGTGGTGCCCTGGGCTTCCTGGTGGCTGCTCTCCACCAGGCCAACTAGTGAGCCCAGCAGCTTGCTGTGCCTGGCACTGCTGCTGCAGGATTTCAATTGTGTGTATGCTCACTGCCTTTTCAATAGA